AACCTCGCTAGGTAGCCGGGGACGATAGATGTCAGCTTGACTCTCTCACATTCCAGACGCTGAGATGCACATCATCACTTTCACCTGCTTTTTGTGCAGTGTGTACTATGACGATGCGGGAGGGTTCCTGGAATCATCGGGGTGATCAGGTCATACCAAGCTCCTCCGGGTTGTCGGATGTCGTGACGGGTGGCATTGAATGCAATGATTATGGCTGCAGAGCAGCACCGAGCACTTTTAAATGAGCACTGGATGGAATAGCTGAGCTTCGGTCAACCTTGAGACTCTTGAACATGGTATTTCAGAGTATTTCGGGGCCCAGTCACGCGGGGTTCTGGAAGCTCGGTCAGGACGATGATTGCGGGTAACTTTGCCCGATTGAGAGCTGATACGCCGTCCTCATGCACTACTCTATCGATATCAATTGGCCAGGGAAACATCAGAGTGTGGTAACACTGGAGAATAGCTGCAGGAATGCAAAGTACAGTTCAACTAGTGGTGAGCACTCAAGAGCGAGGTCAGGATTTAGGATGATGTCTCTCATACGTGCTGATAGCAAGAACCAAGCTGGAGGTGACCTGAAGATCGACCAGAGCGTCGGATTCCCGAGCAACATGACGTTCTTCAATGGATACCAGTCCTCCAGAGCCCCTTGAGTCTGTTAGATCACGCGTGGGCCAGAGACTCCAGTTATATACGTCAAGGATCATGATAGAAGCCGGGAACGGTCTACACGACAAGTCCAGACTTCACGATCAGGACTTTCTGTGATTGTCATTTCTTGCATCGTCATCACTCTCGAATCAAGCTCTCGATTCTGACAGCCAGTCTCGGAAATGACATCCCCCGGACCTGTTGGTGAGCTTTGGCATGCCGCATTCCACAGCACGGTCCATGTGGAGGCAAGCTTTCGGAGTTGGCATTCAACTACGCAGGCAACGGGGGTTGTCTTACTCTTGAATGTGCGCATAGTTGACGGAGACTAGAGCGAAGGGACAGTTCAAAGCCTTTGTCACTTTGGCTATAAAAGAAGGAACTATTCCGGCGGGAAGGATGCCACCCTCTAACAATACTGAATCTTGTCTCCTCTACACCTGCAGAATCACAATGCGAGCATCCTCTGTTCTGATCACCTTATTTGGCCTGGTCGCCACCGGATTGGCCGACAAGTCTTGTACCCCGAGCTTTGACTATTGCTCCGACTACTTGATCCAATCGAAAGGTGAGTTATAGATCGAGGGGTCACGAGGCGACCGACAAACGCTGGACCGTGCTGTACTAACCCACTTATAAGGCTTCACCGAGGCCGATCTCAAGGCGGTTTTAAAGGGAACCGACCTCGAAAACGCGGACTTGAAGAATGTTCTATTCCACTGCAAGAACCCCGGTGATGTGGGCCATGCGGTGCTTTGCACCAGCGAGTGCAAGAACCCGGCAACCGAGGGCAGCCACAAGTGCGATGGGTAAGCCTTCTCCTTGTCTGTTGACGATAGTCAAATGATATGGATCAAATTTTGGTCTTTCTAACTCTGATTGCCACAGCTGAAACCATCTCTTAATGAGAAACTGCGACTTTCTTCGAGTGACTCCGGATTCATCACATGTTTGAGCTTTCAGTCAAGCGGACAGCTTGCGCCCATTGTCTCATTTGTTCCAAAGTTCTGTTCACTTTCCTATCGCACACGCTGCTAGGTACTTACGCGGATGAATAAACTGTCAGTTCGATGAACACAAACTTGTCCTTGAGCCTGCAGGATCTACTGGTCCTCTGAATCCTTCCGATGGACGAGAGAATCCGATATCGGGTACCACTACTGGTATGAGCCTATGAGTATGAGCCTATGAGAGCCGACTGGTAAGTTACACATTATTCGGCAACCGTAGGAATACGGTTCTACTCCAAGAAATCGTGTAGGGTTCCAATGAGTTGGGCGATCATTCTGCGGTCGCAAATGAGTCCAAATGGTAGAAGAACCTTTATTTGCCTGGCTTTACCTCCCTGGCTTTACCATACGTGCTCCTCCATTACGCGATTCGAGAAAATCGTATTTCCTGAACTATGTACAATCATACAATGTACATTGTATGATTGTACACACTACACTGTACACTGTACAGTCCTGCCGCCATAGTTCTCGACCGAGCATCTAGGAAAGGCGGGTGATCATCGGTCGAAAACTTTAGTGGCAGGACTGTAATCGCCTTTCTTGAAACCCTCAGGTTACAGTTCCGGTGCCGGAGATTAACCGGCAGACTCCACAAAACGAAGATGTCTTCCAAGGTTGACTGGTAGAGATGAGGATCCATAAACTCAAGATCCGTTTCTCCCAGCATCACCCGATTGGCGCTTGCTTATCTTAACTTTGTTGGAGATGCACTTTGCCCCCGTGTAAGTTCCTCTGCTAGTTGGGGCTTATCGTGAGTAAGTATGGGGCTACACTTGATTACCCAATGCATGTTGTACAGGTATCTCGCCGAGACAACGGGCATCCGTGATAACGGTCCCGAATGGACTCCAGCCCTATCTGCCCAGAGTCTACAGTCTACTTCGTAGACTCGTAATAATAGATATATCATGGCCCCGTCCCTCCAAAGCTGCCTGAGTGAAGTCGCATCATCGAAACTATCTTGCATATTGCCTCGATTTGTGCAATCATGGAAGACTCAAAGCCAACGCCACCGCCTAAGCCCCCGGCGATTGAGACGATAGAGAGTGTCGAGATCGATCCACGGGCAGAGCGGGCTCTGGTCTGGAAGTTCGATCTTCGCATATTACCCGTACTCGCAGTGATGTATCTCTTCAACAGTCTTGACAAGTCAAACCTGGGAAATGCAAAGACAGCTGGCCTGGATGGTAAGCCGATTGACCATCAACGGCGGTTCGGGTCTTTCGCGAGAGCATTGGCTGACTGCGCCTCTTTTACCACTACTAGAAACCCTCCACCTCGAAGGAAACCAATATAACATGATTCTCAGTATCTTTTTCGTCCCTTACGTCCTCACGGCGCCCTTTTTGGGCTTGCTCGGCAAAAAGTTCGGACCCAACATTGTGCTGCCTTGTATGATGCTCACTTTTGGGGTGTGCACCATTCTGGTGGTCACGGCGTACAACTTTAGCGGACTGTTTGCGATCCGCTGGTTTTTGGGCATGTCGGAAAGCGCGTTCTTTCCTCTCGTGATTTACTATCAGACAACGTGAGTCCAGACCGAACAGGCCTTTTTCTGCAAGGCTGAAACCCCCCTTCCCAAGAAAAAACTACAAGACGACTCATCCTCGAGAGCAGCTTCTATCGTCGCGGTGAGTTGGCTCGCCGACTGGCCATCTTCTACGCTGCTCAAAGCATTGCCTCGGCCTTTTCCGGCCTATTGGCCTTCGGTGTCTTTCGGATTCACACCGGCCCCTTGGCTTCGTGGCGCTACCTTTTCCTCATCGAAGGCTGCGGAACTGTGCTCTTTGCATTCTTCGCACTCTGGTACTTGCCCCGGTCAGCTGCCGAGGCGACGTTCCTGACTCCCCAAGAGAAGGAATTGGCATATCTGCGTCTTCAAATCGACAGCTCTTCAGTGGTGAATGAAAAGCTCAATATCCGTGACGCTTTCCGCATTTTCAAACACTGGACCAGCTGGGCAATTCTCGCCATCCAAGTCTGTCTTGGAGTACCCTTGCAGGGAGTTCAATTGTTCCTCCCAGTGATCATCAAGCGTCTCGGTTATGATACCGTCAAGACGAACCTTTACACCGTGGCGCCCAATATCTCCGGCGCGGTGGTGCTTCTGATTCTCGCATTCTGCAGTGACTGGACCCGATGGCGCTTTCCATTCATCGCGTTGGGGTTTTTGTTCACTTTCATTGGCTTCATCATCTACGCCGCCATTGACGTTGAACGGGATCTGAACGTCGCCTATTTTGCAACTTTCATGATGACATGGTGAGTCCAATTACTCTCTACTCACATTTTCCCACATCATCTCATTACGCTCGTTCATTATCTACATGTACACTGACACAAGGCGTCCGTTCTGCAGGGGTACATCGGCACCATCAGTCCTCCTCGACTCATGGTACAACAACAACATTGCAAACGAGGGCAGACGAGTGGTCCTCACAAGTATCGCAGTGCCTGTCGCCAATCTCATGGGAGTCGTTGCCTCCAACATCTTCCGTAACCAAGATGCTCCCAAGTACTTCCCTGCCCTGATCACGACCGCTGCCTTCGGCGGGACAGGCATCCTCCTTACCTTGGCCCTGGGTCTGTGGATGATGTTTGATAACAAGAGGAGAGATCAGAGGCAAGGAGTCTGTGTCAAGGCGAAGGATATTCCCTCGGAAAATTTGAACGAAGGTCCGGCGAGTGATGATTTCCGTTGGTTCTATTAGAGATGGAGTGCCTGATCCAGCCCCTTCTATGGTGAGACCTACCGAGAAGGTTCCTCTGTGGATTTTGATAAATTCTGTCCGCAACCTGAGCTCTAGGTAATGAATTTAATGATATGATGAACTGCCAAGTGCATTAATACTGCGACTTCGATGGGCACACTGCATGAAGACTATCATTGGAAGTTGTTAGGTTCCAGCCCGGAAAACCTACTAGGAGACACTAGACAGTAGACACTAGGTTTCGAGGTTGACTGTGAATGGAATGTGTGGATAATCTAGACATCATCGAAGCCCGTCAGGCAGGTGGTGTTACGTGTAACACCATTGAAGCCTTCAGACGGAGGTACAAAAATATACCTTTGCCACCATCGGGCGCGGATATGCCAAATCTTGCGCTTTGAACGAGTGGAACGCACCACGAGATTGTGATCTTCGCAACGAGACACACTAGCTAACAAAGAAGTGCATGACCTAGATGAGCCAGAGTCTGCAAAAACGAGCTAGAAGAGATTGGAGCCGGGGTTGAACCCCCAGTTCAACTAAATGTAGGCAAAGCTGATTTCCTGTTATGTACTGTACAGTATTGGTCATAACTTCAAAATCGGAGTTATTATTCCATCAAGGGCTTATGGTCTAGGGGTATGATACTCCCTTCGCAGCTGGTTTCATTCGAGATCACCGAAGATTGGGAGTGGTCCGGGGTTCAATTCCCCGTGAGTCCATTGGTTTTTTGGGTCATGTTTTTGGATCTCCAGCCGCGTTTTATCCATCGATGGCTCTACGATAAACAAACAAACAGGTTTATATTTTACCTGTTTTGTTAGAAGTACTATGACAAGATTTTGGTCGTATCTCATGTCTTTGATTCGCCGTTGGAGTTGTCGAGTAAAGACCAAGGATACAGGTGCTGCAGCCGCTAACGATTTAATAGTGTATATACTTGGGAAGCCAGAAAGATGGCCCGATTGATTACAAAAATACAAGCTTTCGGGACAAAACGCGCGCAAAATGGGGTATCTTAATCAAAATATCAGAAGCAAAAGCACCTCAAGAAAAGTCAAGACCGAGGAGCAGGTATTGCTTGATCTTCTATCGCTCACATTCGCGACTGCCGCCTGGCCTCCTCAGCAACAAAGTCCATCAAAGCCTCCGATCCCTGATCTAAGCTTGACTCCGAGGAAGATCGAGGGAACTTGCAGACGTGGGCTCCGGCACCTTGCATGCGTAGCTCCTGGACACCACGTCCAACCCCATCGATGCTATTGACAAGATACGTGGTGACAGCCATGTCATGTCGAGTGAGAGTAACCTTCATCTTCTTGTGCCTTTCGGGATGGGAGTGAGGTAGCAGGAGCTCGCCAAGAGGAGGGTAAATGGGGACCCACTTCTGCGGCTCTGTTTTCCCTGGAGCAGCGGAAATCGGGTTTGATGCGATGGCGGAAACCACATCCAGGAGCAGGATATGAGTGATGGCTGCTTCGGCTTCTTCTCTCAAGCCAACGCGATTCGGAGTCTTGAGATGCGAGACTGTTGGCAGCTGGAAGGAGACTTCATATATGCTTCCGAGTGGCACAGCTGAGAAATTGGTCCGAATGGTGACCGAGAATGAACCACGCGGAGTGAGCAGGTCCCCGCTGAACACCGATTCTACTGGACGCAGAAACTTCTCAACGAGCGCCTCGAGACTGTGGGTTGACTTGCCTACGGATCCTAACGGCCAGCCCACGCACGTCTGCAAATTCCACGGAGGCAGATCCAAGCCAGCGGAGCGCAGCACAGTGTAAATGTCAGAGAAGTAGGCTTCTAGCGACCGGACCAATGTCAAATGCTGAAGATATGCCAGGGCGGGCCGAAGGAGGTGATACTCGGGAATCGGCGGTCTTGCTGTGGTCAGTGGACGCGGAATCTGTGTCCGGCGGCGCAGGTTTTGCCGGTGGGCGAAACACAGCATGATGCGAATTCCATGAGCAAAGCCGTCCGCGATCGAGTCGTTCTCTCGCAAAAGTGCCTCTTGAGACTGAGAATCATGGCCGTCAATGTCTACAAGATCCAGCATGATCTCCGTGTCGTCAGCGACTGGTATACCGATCAAATTCTCGCGGGTAGTGACGCCACAAGATGCCAGCGCTCTTGCTTCTCGGACCAGTTCATGAAACAGCTCCTCCTCGAAGACCGAGTCTCGCGCCTGTAGGATTCGAGCTTCGATAGGATCTGTTTCATTGGCTATCGTTCCCGTTGGTTTGGAGCTCGCCCACTTTTGCTGCCCTTGTTTGACTTGAACGCGGACGTAGCGGGCACTCGTAGGCATGAGTCCCTGATCCAGCACAAGACTCCCGTCGTTTGATCGCTGAAGGGATGCGAGCCCTCGGTCGCGAAAAGCCGGAGTCGCTAATAATTTGTGAATTAGCAGTAGATACGACATGTTAGCCGCAGCTGCAGACATGTGCCCGTCGTACCTTCTATAAAGCCGTATCGCACAGCCAATGCTTGCCTGACTCGCGGATGTCTGCAAACTTTCCATCCTTTATCCTTCACGGCAATCACTTCATTCCAGTACTTGGTCTCCGAGTCAATTTCACGGTTGAGCCGCGTGGCAGCATTCAGTAACTTATTTGAAACGGCATTGAAGCTCTGCATGCGCCATCCGCGGGACACGGTTGCGATATCTTTGAGGGTTGCCTCGGTTCTTGGGGGCGCGTTGACGAGATCCGAGCTGAGAGAACCGAGAGGCGCAAGCTGTTTTAGTAGAGGTGACATGGAGGTCTCTGCTTGGCGCGGCGAGTGTTTCGACAAGAGCAAGGAGATGAAGTCAAGTGCGAGCATGGTCTCTTGATGTGCTTTTCTGTACTCGACCGGTTTAACACAAAAATCTTGACTGCCAGTTGCGTGGGAAGAATGCTTGACTGACACTGCGAATTGGGTGATCTCGAGGCGACGCTTGTACAGCTGCTCGCGACGCTCTGTCGCATCGAGCTCTGTGGGCTCCTCTTCGTCTTCCTCCGATGGCGTCGCATCCGGTTTCTTCTGCTTGGCAATTTCAGCACGGAGGACGTCCTCGTTCACCTCGCGGAATGAACCCCATTGGTTGTTGATCTGGGCGATCTCGACGGGGAGGGTGTCGGGGCGTTCATCTTTGTCGGTGGGAGGGCGTAGTGGCAATGAGAAGGATTCGACCATAATCGCGAAGGCCGAGGAAATGCGACTGAAGTAACAAACGCAGAGGGTCTTCGAGGTGAACGAGGGATGACTAGAGAGGATGTAAACGTCAGAAAATAGTAAATGCGGATTATTGATGAGATCGGCATATGCGCGTATCACGTGATAGTCTCAAACAGAGTCCCCGCTGTCTCAACTGTTCATCGAGGCGGCACAATGCGGACGAAACGCAAGCAGGTTGTTTGTTTGTCTTTGAGGGTGATGCTGGCTAATGACCAAAGAGCACAATACTCGAGATCAGAGAATGGTCAATGTCGTATGCGTTCGTGATGCAGCTTTTGAGGTCTATGATCTACCTTACATTGTGTGGTATTGTGGGCATGACCTCCGCGGACCAGGCCTCGGCCCACCTACCTTACCTCAGTAGCCAGTCTTCAAACAATTGAGGACTCATCTCCATATCACAAGTTCACTACAGCCTAGGTACGTTTTATTCACGCACTTGAAGCGGCCGGATTCGGTCCAAAAACCGCCCCCAGGATAGTTTCAGATGCAATCAGACTCTCATGGTCCGAATATGTCTTTTATGGCTACGATTAAGCGGGGTACAGGTGGAAGATCGTTATAGGCAGTTTATCCACTGTGTTCATTATTGAATAAGTCAAGAACGGACACAGCTCTGGAAGACACTGTTTAATTCTGTGCACTCATTAGGTACTAGTAGCTATTCGTACTCGCCATGGCTCCCAAATGACAACGTTCTAATTCCAGAGCTTCTGTCATTGAAGACTTAAGAATTGCAAAGACATGTGTTGGCGGGACGAGGACCTTCATGCGATTGGAGTAATCGATGTGTAGATATTCCACTTTACCCAGAGCCAACGATGCGCATTTTCACCGCGATTGAAATCAATAACGATACGGCCCGCCACCCGGCCTTTGCGAAGTTGCGCCGATCTCGTCTGGAACACCGTCGGGAATCGGCGATGCATACCGTGGGGGGGAGGCGATGTATTGCTGGTACGTGCCTGGCTCATGGCAATGTTAGCTCAGACGGTGACTCGTTCGGACGATACGAGTCTTCTGGAGTGAAGCCCTTCGCGGTATGGATGTCGGTATAGCAAAGACCGGTGAATTTCAATCGGACCAAGATATCGTCGGGTCCTGCTTGGCTGTCAGCCTTGTCGCATTTAGAAGAGACGCGGGACCTTCAGCGGAAGACGGGAAATGGAGGAGGATATTTTGACAGGTTCAGGAACCGGCACCTCTTGCCCTTCAACATGAAAGCCAGGGCCCTCATTGACGACAACACCCGCTTTGCAGTGCGTGGGGATTTCGGATTGTGTTGCTTCTTCCGTGGAGTCCATTGTCAACGAATTCTGCGCCTCAATAAGCGTTCCTGAGGAGACGTGAGTGAATGGAGTCGCTAGCATCAATTTCCTCGCCATGGTCAGCTATTTACGCGTCGAGGGCTGTGAATCAAGAGACCGAGGAACGAGGCATTAGCGGAATTCCCCCGCCTTTGAAGTTGGCTTCTGTCCCTCTTTCTCCTCTTTCCACGCCTGCGGTGTCGTAGACTCAAGATCGTATTATGGCCAAGAAATCGAAATGCAGGATAGGAATTACAAGATGTAAGCGGCGATCCCCCGTTCTTTGGCTGCAGCAGAGATGGCGCCCCCTCGAAGCCAGAATGTCGGATAGATCCCAACAACTCGCCTCAGTGATTAGGTCTCAGTTTTAACCTCGGCGGAACCGTCAACAGAAGAGCTTCGTTGACAGCTGTACAATAAGAAAAGGTAAATATTATGTGTAGATAAGATGAGGAGAAGAATTAGAAATAATATAAATGTCACATCATCATGCAGTGTGTTGCCGACTTGGCACCCAAATATGGGCGGAAACTCCCTCGGCGCCAAGGTAGACCACAACAAAAATGCTCAAAAACCAAGAGCCCTGATCTTACGCTTCACTATTACAATGCAGGTGAGCCCATCAATCCCATATCAACCAGCCACAGGACCCGCCAAGGGTAATCATCATCAGCGCGGTCAGAATACCTGCACCGGCCCTATCCGCGGTGGTGATGGGATACGAAAGAGCGTCGGGCGTAGGATCGACAGGCTTTCCTCCAGCGTTGGGATTGCCCTTGCTGGTACCGCCATGATCTTTCGTCACGGGAGGGGCCACATAGTCGATCATGTTCGCCTGCACAACTTCCAGGACGGACATCTGTTGACCGAAATCCTTGGTATGATCCCATTTCTGTGAGGTCCATCGCATACCACAAGTCGTACCTTGCTCGCCGCCCGTGCAAGTTTTGGCAGCGGCTTGCCCGGTAGCCTTGAGTTTGGGCATGATCTGATCGTGAGTGAAGGGAGCCATATGAATGGTGTCCGCCATCCAGCGAGCCAGATAACCCTTGAAGGACCGCTGGTCAACCATGCATGTGTTGACGGTCTCGCAAGCTCGCTCGTACATAACGTTGGGTGGCTCCTGGGCAAAGAAGATTTCTCCGGCATTGAGGATCTTCTGAACTCGATTCTTCCACTCAGGGTCCTCAGTCTAATGAGGTCAGTAACTGTGCTCATTTCCACTCTTCGCAAGCCGCAGAAGAGAGGTTCAGAGTATTAAACGAGACATACCACATTGTACATACTGGCGGCTCCCAGCAAAAAAACTCCATTGTTGTAGGTCCATTCGATCTTGTTGATGTCCTTGCAGTCATTGAGGTCACTGGCTCCGTCCCAGAAGTTGTATTCATTACTTCGGAAGCCGACCTCGGTGATCCAGTCCCAAGCCTTGTCGGCCCAGTCCAAGTACGTTTGATTCCCGGTGTATCGAGCAAGTCGGGCCGCAAGTTGAAAAAACCCACCGGTTGAGATGGTGTTCTTGTAGTTGTAACCGTTGTTCCACGTGAATATCTGCCATCGCAATCCGCCACCACAAGTTGCAGGGTCCCACCGAGCCGCCTGCGTGTTAAAGACGGCTTGGGCCATCTCCAGCCACTGAGGCTGGTCACTGGGAGGGTTAGGGAAATTCCGTTCTGCCGCTGACATGGCTGCGAAGCCCCAAAAGACTTGGTCGTCGTTTCCCTCAGTTTTGGATTGATTGGCGGGCATAAAGGCTGCGTTGTCGCCGGCCTGCCAGAGCATGGCTTGGGTCGTAATGTCGTTCCAAGTCTCGTCCCCCGTGTAGTACCAATAATTGATCAGTGAATTGAACATTGCACCAGCCTCCCACCAGTAGTAGGGATCTGGTAGATTGCCTGGATTATCGCCGGGATTCATTCCGGTGTAGTATGTCATCATATTCGTAGCAATGTCTTTCGCAGCACTCTTAATGGAATCTAACAATGCGTGAGCTTTTCGTTTTACGAGAATGGCATCCATTGCGCCTCACCTGCATTGTTCACATTCAATTCCACTGCCGCGACAGACTCAAGTCCGGCAAGGCCAAGTGTCAAGAGAACCGCCCATGAGGGTCGAAATGAGTGGCCGGCCACTTTCATTCTGAGTTTCAAATTCGGTGAATGGTCGTTGAGACCAGAACCGCACAGTGGGCTTGATGTTTCAATTATCGCTGCAAAGCACCTCCCAGGGCAGACTGTGATGCAATGGAATGACAGATCTCGGGCGTCTCAGCGTCAGTGCACAACTCTCAACTTCAAGACAAGCAAAGATCCCAAGAGAAGGTAAGTATCTGGAATATCTGGGAGTAAGCCCAGTGTCCGCTGTCACCACTGAGGAAAGAGAAAGTTGCAAGAGGAGAAAGGCCCAGACGTGCGCTGGAAGTTGACATTCCAGTGATCTGGAGAAGGGTTGGAATGGTGACAGTCAAATTCATCCCTCGAGTCACGGTCGAGACCCTTCCCAAGGAGCAATGCACCCTCGAGCTTCGGCTCCTCTGAAACGAGGGGACATGTCAATGCCAATTGTGCAGTTTGGCCCGGATGAGGGACCGTCATGTGAGAACTGCAACGCTGGAGCTGACATTGTGTTGCAAAGTTCCATGGGTCCGATGGGTTGTCACTCCACGATGCGGATCCAGCTGGAATGCGGGCAACAAGCTATCAATGGTCACGACGCGGTGGATAAGAGGATACAGGCGATCAATTCGTCAATAATTGCTATAGATTGCTCATAGACGATGGGCTGCATGCTCCCATGTGTCCACCAGAACGTGACCGAAAGCAACCAAGAGCGTGATAAGAGTAGTGGCAAGTCTCCATGACTCAAGGATGGGCACGTTCCCGTGTTCGTCCTGGACATCCCTTTCCGGTAGGGTGAGAGCAGTCTGGGTTGGACCTCGTGGGTCCATCGAGCGGGAAGGGCTTGGATTTACCGCCGGTGCCGTCTGTGAACTCAGTGTATGATCCTTGGAGGAGACCTCAATGCTGGGAGATCTTCCTGTATGATCTTTCCTACAGCCTCAGGTGCCATCCAAAAAAAAGTGCCAAGACAAAGGGTCAACCTTGATTACCTTGGATCATCAAAGTACCCAAGGAAAACCGGTCAACCCCGGTAAGCGCGCATGGTCTGCGATTGGGGGTAGATCAAGCTCGCGGCCACTGTCTGGAAAGAAGAAATCTGTCATAGCTTTGGTACAGATAGTGATCTTGAAGAGTCGAAAATCGAAACATTGTATTTGTGAAAGACAGCCTGTAGACATAAGAATCTAGGCAGGAAAGCGCTAAGAGGTTAACAAGGCACTCACGCAACAGGACATATCTTATGCCTCAGGCCCGCACATTCATGGCTTAGGTAAGTCCGAACCTCCGTCAGCTGCAGTCCATGCCCGGGCTGAGTAGAGGGGATCGGCTGTTGTCAACTTCTGCGCTTTCACTCCGTATGGATCGGCCATTGATATGGCAAATTTTGGGCTTAACTAACATGCCTTCGTGGTCTAGTTGGTTATGACGTCGGTCTCATATGGATCTTATGACGACCCTGCTGTAACAGGGTGGTAATCCGAAGGTCTCCAGTTCGAACCTGGACGAGGGCAAGTTTTTTGTGTTGTCTGGTTTCCTTTTTGGTTGCTTGATATATATAGAGTCCTGGGCTCCAACAGGAACAGGAGTGAAGCCACATTCACTGCCGTGGACTACCTGCTGCATTTTGTCTGTCGAGGAGAAAGGGTGTCGTCAGATCTTATCGCGAAACGGCGCGCATGACAACTTCAACCCCCGAGGGCTAAATACGACGTCGCTCTCGGACCCGGCAGCTTCGCCGGTCAGAAACAAGCAATGATGCACCATTGCACATACGAAAAGGTATCGTGTGCAGGTGACCATCTAGGCTTTGCCGGTGATTTGGCCGGAGTCACAGCCGAGGCTTTCACCGATGCCTCTGCCCGTTGCTGAGGGTGCAGATGGCACCCGGCTCTTGATATGATTGACGGCGTGGGCAGTTGGGCGAGTCTCTGTACATCACTATCTCAGTACATAGTACCCTATACAGTGTACAATGCTTGTAATGTGTGGACTGTGGAGCCTAGCATTGTTGTTATCACATAACATGCAAGCGTTTTCGAGGTTGTCAATAGACGGGAGCCTGCAGGGTCGTATTTGATCAATGCTCAGGCCCAAAGCTCACTGGAGGACGAACCGTCATTCATGCATAACCAAGTCGTCTCATTACATCAAATGGAACACGTCGGGTGAATTAACTTGACTGGTCCGGACCCAGAGAAAAGTCCGATCGCTGCTGAATGGTCGAGTCGCTTTTTGCTCATGCTGGATCTGACTGCTTCAGGAACAACCGACGATCAACAAGCGAGACGAGGGGGTTTGCAAAGTCAATCGGCGCGGCGTACTACTGGCTTCTTCGTCCGAGTGTGAAAATAACAGGACAAGGGTTGATTGAATGGCAATCTAGGGTGCAGATCGTTTAGGTCACTACTGGTTACCGGCCATAAAATGGGCTCCAATCTCCCTCGAACAGGTATGGATGTTTTGCAATTTATCCCTGCTTCGAGCTTGCACCACAGAGATTTTGTTTTCCATGAAGTTCATCCAGGCTCTAAACGCCCTGCTGGTGGGTTTAACTAACGCCAAGGCTGCAAGCCACAGCTCCAACTCACTCGTCTCAGCGGCTGGCGATATCGCTATCATTCCGGGCTGGAACCTACAATCTAGCCTGTATGTCTCGACGAGCAGCTCCCATTTATCCCAACCTGGGGTTGGTGTCACTGATTGGCATCGGGTCGGCCCACGCGGAACCGTTCTGGCCGGCCTGATCGAGAGCGGCGTATACAGCGATGAGCAGCTGTTCTTCGCAGACAATTTGAACAGCTTGGCCACCAATTTGTCCTTTCGCTCCCCATGGATCTATAGAGAAGAGTTCGCCATGACACCAGACCAGGACCAGTACTTCACACTGCATACGCACGGGATCACTTCCAAAGCGGACGTTTATCTCAATGGTGCGATGATCGTTGGGAGCGATGAGCAACAGGGCTCATATGGAGGTCGTCAATACAATGTGACCGGAAATATTCGGCACGGGACAAACGGTTTGCTCATTAAAGCCTATCAGACCGACTATCTTCGTGATTTTTCCATGGGGTTTGTGGACTGGAATCCGTATCCGCCAGACAACGGCACGGGCGTTTGGCGTAATGTTGAAATTAAGCAGTCAGGGCCCGTCTCGATGTCGCCCTTCCGCGTGGTGATCGTGTTAAAGAGTTTGACAGAGACCAAAAAGGTCCATCTTACGCTATTCACCGACTTGGTCAACCAAAGCCAGAGAAAAATCCAAGTGACCGTAAAGGGAACCATCATTTCTCCACTGGGATCTACAGCTAGCCCCGTGGCTCGGTCGATTCATCTGGGCCCCGAAGAGAGAAAGACCATATCAATTCCAGCGACCATTGAAAATGCGGCAATCTGGTGGCCGGCCCGATGGGGTGATCAGCGACTCTACACTGTGCAAGGAGAAGTGAAAATCGAGGATTCAAGGAAGACAGTGTCCGACAAGTCACGCCCGCAACAGTTCGGGATACGCAAGGTATTTTCGAGGGTGAACGAACACAACGACACGGCCTTCTTTGTCAATGACCGACCGTTTCAGGTGATGGGTGGAGGCTACGGACCCGATATATTCCTGCGATTTGAGAAGACTCGCGTGGCCAAGATCTTCGAATACATGCTCGACATGGGGCTTAACACTCTGCGCTTGGAAGGTAAGCAGGAGCATCCCGAGCTCTACGAGCTGGCGGACCAGATGGGCATCATGATACTTGCTGGTTGGGAGTGCTGCGATAAGTGGGAAGGCTGGGAGGTGAGAGAGACATTACTCTAGAAGAAGTGTCCCAGCTCGGTGGGATCAAGACTGACTCAGATCATAGTATAATGATGATGCCAACGGCGTCAAGTGGGTGAAATCGGACTACCCGATTGCCCAGGCTGCAATGCTTCACGAAGCAGAGATGATGCAAACTCATCCATCGATGCTCGGACTTCTGGTCGGTTCTGACTATTGGCCTAACGCTCAGGCCACACAGATTTACTTGGAAGCACTGAGACAAATGAATTGGGACAACCCTGTCATAGCATCTGCCAGCCAGCGCGGCTATCCAGAGGCCCTGGGACCTTCGGGGATGAAGATGGATGGTCCATATGACTGGGTACCTCCCAACTATTGGTATGGCGACCGAGAAGGGGCTGCATTTGGATTCGGCTCGGAGCTCGGAGCAGGCGTAGGAACACCCGAGTTGAGCAGCCTCAAGAGATTCCTGTCGGACGAGGAACTCGAGATCCTCTGGAGACAACCAAACGCGACTCAGTTTCACATGTCCCGGTACGACTCCCAATTCTACGACCGCTCAATTTACAATTCTGCTCTTTTTGCACGATACGGGGAGCCCGTCGATCTGGAAGACTACATCCTGAAATGTCAAATGGCCGACTATGAAGCAACTCGCGCGCAGTTCGAGGCTTACTCTGCCAAACAGAATGCATCACGACCTGCCACAGGGTCAATTTACTGGATGCTGAATAGCGCATGGCCAAATCTTCACTGGCAGCTGTTCGATTACTATCTGAGTCCAATGGGAGCTTACTTTGGTGCCAAAGTGGGCAATCGGATGGAACACGTCGCTTATGATCATAAGAAAGAGACTGTGTGGCTGATCAATCACTCATTGGAATCAAAAGGCGAGAGGCAACTCATGATCGATCTCATCGATATCAACGGAACAGAGATTTCAAGTATCGTCGTCAAGACAGAAACTTCTCCCAGCTCATCAAAAGAGGTGGGACGTCCAGGCGGCATTGATCACATACAAGACCTTGCATTCTTGCGACTGACACTTCGTGACACCAACACGAACCAAGACCTTAGTCGAAATGTATACTGGCTCGCACCCCAAAATGACGTGCTTGACTGGGATAACTCGACATGGTACACCACGCCAGTCACCAAATTCGCGAATTTTCAACAGCTGCAGAGCGTTCCCAACGCAATAGTGAAAGCCACGGCGCATAAAGCAAAGGTCAAGGGTCCTCATGGCCACGCGAATGTTGACATTCAACTGGAGAACGTATCCGACCATCCAGCTGTGTTCCTGAGATTGACCGTGATCAACTCATCAGATCAGACAGTGATTGCACCTGTGTTCTGGTCAGATAACTATGTAACGCTTTGGCCGAAGGAAAGCGTGAGGGTCTCAGTGCTGTTCGAAGGGGACTTGGATGGGGCAGTATTTGAGCTGTCTGGTCGCAATGTCCAGAAAGCACAGTTCACGTGCCTCGGTGCAAGCAACTGACTCGAAGAGGAAGTCATTTGATTCAGACAATTCATAACTGATATTGATTCATACTCAGACGCAGAAAATCATGCGGATAACCCCTTTTTCAGAAGGACAGAGTCATAGCACAATATATTGGCTCACAAGACAACAAACCTATTAATGATGATTTCACTGAGATTCCTCATAAGAGCAGTGGCGGTGGGGAGGAAAGAGAACTGGACTTGGAGCTCCATGTAAAAAATTGACACAGGCAACTGGCTCGGGCCACAAATCAGGTTGTAGCCTGAAGAAGTCTCAAAACGTGGGGCATCTTCGACCCCGAGTACTCGATGCCCAGGACAGACGGCGTCTGGAGACTCTCTGAATAGAGCATGTGAAGCTTTTCCTTGGGTGTATCTCGCAGCTCCGGAGCTTTATGTATATCGGGAAAGGAGAGCAACTCTTTCGTCGGAGCCGTGGCCCACAGGTAGTATAACGAGATGCTTTGCAGTGACTCAAAGTTTGAGCTCAGCTCTTCCAGTACGGAGATCCAGTTTTCATCTGGCGTGAGCGAGACGTGGTACAGCGTCAAGGTGGTCAAACTTCCTCGAAGACCGTGCAATATCTTCTTCAGATCTGGGACCTGAACCGCAGTTCTGAACAGCGCCAACTCCTCAAGGTGCGGGAAAGCGGCAGACTCGGCAATTTCATGCATGAATTCGCTGGCTAGATCGTGCGAGCCCAGGTTGAGAAGGAGTGTTCGAAGATTCGGAGCGTTGAGCACCAGTTCAAGGAGCAAAACAAAGTTGTCGAGAGTGAGGTACTGCTCCAAGGACAGTTTTTCCAAATTTGACCATATGGCCTTGAACTGGGGCTGGCGATGGAGCAGTTTCGGCATGCGACGCATATCCATGACAAGGGTGCGGGAGTATTTGTTGGCATAGACGAGATGAAAAGAAGTGACAGGGACCTGGGCATCCACAACCAGAGCAAAGAATACCGCTACAGTGTCGGAAACTGTCACGCGACTCATGTCTGGATGCCCCTCGGGATATCGACAGAAAATGAAAAATGACTGACAATTCGTAAATCGGTGAACCAGACTGTCCCGCAGCCGTGCAATTTCGGGAATCTCCAGAGGCGCAGATAGAGGTCCCCAAGGGTGTCGATCCCAGATCAAGCCTTCCCCGACGCCGTTCTGGAGCATGAACGCCAGACCTCGGACTTGGGGAGAAAGGGCGCGATGGCGAGAGAGTGCTTCAATCCGACCCAGA